TCTAGGAGAAAACACAGGCATTAATTCTTTTTTAAATGTTTAGTAGAATTTGCCATCTGGTCCTGGGCTTTTCTTTGTTGGGAAGTATTTGATTGCTGATTTAGTATCCTTACTCTTTACTGATCTGTTAAGATTTTTTATTTCTTTGTGATTTTGTAGTGATTTAGGTTTCTAGGGGTTTATCCATTTCTTCTAGGTTGTCCAATTTGCTGGCATCTCATTATTCATAGTAGTCTCTGCACTTTGGTGGTGTCAGTTATAATGTCTTCTCTTTCATTCCTAATTTTACTTGAGTCCTCACTCTGTTTTTTGGTAAGTCTAGCTAAAGGTTTGTCAGTTTTGTTTCTCTTTCAAAAATCAACTTTTAGTTTTATTGATCTTTTCTATATTTTTTTTCTATTCTCTGTTTTACTTATTTCTGCTTTGAGTCTATGTTATATCCTTTCTTCTAGCTTTGGATTTAGTTTGTTCTTCTTAGTTCCTCGATATATAAAGTTGGGTTGTTTGAGATTTTATAATGTGCTTATTTATCGCTATCAGCTTCCCTCTTACCACTGCTTTTGCTGTATCCCGTAAGTTTTGGTCTTCTGTGTTTCCTTTGTTATTTGTTTCAAGATATTTCTACTTTCCCTTTTGAGTTCATCTTTGACAATTTGGTTGTTCAGAAACGTGTTGTTTAATTTCCACATAGTTGTAAATTTTCTAGTTTTTCTCCTGTTATTGACTTCTAGTTTCATACATTTGTGTTTGGAAAAGATATTTGAAATGATTTCAATCTTCTTAAAATTTTTAATGTATTTTTAATTTCTTCTCTTTGTTCTTTCAGTTTTTATGTATGTTACATAAATACATGTGCTTTTTGTATTTTAAAGATCTTTGTTTGGTACATAATCACTTAGAATTATTTTCTCTTCTTGGTAAACTGCCCTGTTCAGCCCTGATAATTTTCTTTGCCCTGAAGTCCACTAACCTGATATTAATAAAACTACTGAAGATTGTTTTGACTAGTACTTACGTGTTATATTTTTATAATGCTTTCCATTTAACCTATCTGTAGCATTATTTTTAAAGATGAATTTCATGATTAGCAAGGATCTGTTCCACAGTCTCTGAACTCAGTCCCACTGGTGGGAGAGGGAGGTGCAACTCCTTCTGTAGTGCTTGCCTGTAACAGGTCTGATAGTCAAAAGGCTACTGTTCTGTAGGTCAGTCCTCTTCTCAGCCCTTCGCTAGAGTGTGGGCTTTCCTTGGGGCTGATTTTGTCTACACTCATTATTTCTGAATTGCAAGCTGCTTTATTTACCAGAAGAAAAATATAGGTATATCCCAAGGAAATTCACCGAAAGGTCATCCACTGAGTCTCAGTGTCCCAGCCAATTTGACTCCCTTTTCCCAATTTCAAAGTCTTCTGATAATTTCTCTATTTTTTTTTCAGGATTTTAGTTGCAATTTGTTGAATGAATAGGGTGCATTGTAGTTATTTTATCTTGTCTAACACTAGGTTCCCTGCCTTTTTTATTTATATGTAAGTCAAATTTTTCTGTTCTTTCACATATTTAGTCATTTTTTAAAATGTGGATACTGAAGACTACGGCAGATACATCGTAGAGACTCTGAATTTAGTTATCTTTATCTGGAGATTAGCTCTTATTTTGCCATACAGTTAACTCAGCTAGGTCGAATTTTTAACTCAGATTTCCTGTTTATATCAGCAGTTTAAATCTCTACCCAGTTCCTTCCGTTTCAAGTTACTGCTGACCTGCTGTCTCCTCTGTAATTGCACAGTGCAGCCATTGACCAGAGTGCAGTGGTTTCACATTTTACATGCAGATTTTGGAGCTTCTATCCTTGTGACTTCTTCTTTCCTAGACTCTCTGCCACCTGATTTTTATTTGCTTTACCAGTCTCAAATGTTGTCTTCTGACACATAAAGCCAGCCAAGCTGAAGTTTCTGATACTCTGAACAGCTTTCTGATGCCTTGAACCATAGGAAGATTAGGGGATGAGGGTGAGTCACACAAAAAAGCTTTAAATTTACAAATATCACCAGGATCTTATCTTTTCTGTCTCCCAAAGGAAGACTCCCCTCTAGTTTCTGCCTGGTTTTGATCACTATCCAGAGCCTTCATACAGTTGGGTGATTTTATATATTTGTCCTAGATTTTATATCTAGCGTCTCTGTTTCTGCTGTATCTGCTGGAGGTTTAGTCTGGTCATGCCACATTGCTGTTACTGGTATTTGTAAGGCCCCTTCATTGTGTGTGTGTGTGTGTGTGTGTGTGTGTGTAACGTTATTATAGTAAAAGTCAGAGAAACTACCATTCAGGCCATGGATCTGCCTTTTGATATTCTATGCTTAGTTTTGCTAACAAGGATTACAACCCCATCCTCCTCTTTAAAATTGTTGTTTAGTTCCAACTTCCAACTCTTGAGCCAATAAGATTATGTGCCCCAGTCTCACCCTTGAGAGAGGTATTTGCAGATGGAAGCAGCTGGCAGTCTCCAGGGGTGCTGAGATTCCTTTTTAGGTCAAGATGGGCCACCACTTATGTCAGAGACTCACAAGTGAAAGAGCACCAGTGTATCTGGACAGAACACACCTCTCTTGCCTTAAAAAAGAATGTAAGAGTGCTTCCTTTAGGGTGTTTGCATAGAATCATGACCTGTTGAGGAAAATTCTAGATATCTCCTAACAATATTCCTTTATCAAGTCAAATTAAGACATCCACATTCAAAGCTTCCATTATATCTGCTGGCTTCCTGTCCTACTCTTTTTGGGCGGGGCAGGGGGAATACCCATACTCATCAGTGTTAGTAAAGGAGAGAGAATATAAGAGAGTTATAATGGCTTGATGCTCAAACTGTGACATATGGACCAGCAGCGTGAGCATCATCTGGAAACTTTAGAAATGCAGAACACCAGGTCTTACGGATCTACTGAATCAGAACGCTCATTCAGTGAGAACCTCAAGTGATTCTTAACATGCAGTAAAGTCTGAGAAACACTGAGCTAAAATATAGGCTGCCTTGAGAAGAGCTTTTTAAAGTATCTGTGGACATTTTTGTTTGTTTGTTTGTGGTTCTAATCCATTGCAGACCAATACATCTTAGCATACGATAAAATGTATTAATATTAAAATAAAACATACAAAACCCTGATTTTATTATAGTCAAGAGACATAAAATGATACTTCAAAAATATAATTAGAACATAAAATGTAAAAACTGATATTTGTTCATTGAAAGAGTGAATTTTAGATTACCAGTATTCACATATAGCATAATAAACACCTTCTGTTGACTTTATAATTCAATATTCTTTCTTTCAAATTATTATTTTTGTGTGAATTTAGTTGTAATGGTTTGTTTGAAAATTCCACTTAGGTTTTAATGGTTTCATTGCTTCATTAGCCAGTATATCTCTGCAAATAATACATTGTGGTTTTCTCACTTCATCATCAAATATGTTTACAAAACCAAATTAAATATAATTCAGATAAACTTTTTTTGTCTTTATTTTTTCAGAATCACTTCCACTTTTATCATTTGTTTCACTACTATTGCCATGTTAGGAAAAAGGGTGTCTTTGCTTGACAAAGAGTAGGGTGAAGTCTGTTTAGCCACAATAAATAATTCAAAATTGGCTTTCTTAATTTAGGTAAGAGTTATAAACACTAAATTTAGAAAAAGAATTAATGGATCAAAAATTAAGTATAAAATATTGTTATATAAATATAATAAGCATAATGCTTACATTTTCTCATATTCTTAAATCTTTCAAAACAGAGATGACAGACACCTTAAAATATCACATCTCACAACATTGTTTTATAAGATTATATGCCTTATAAGATATATGCCTAATAAGATTATATGCCGTATAAGGCATACCAGTATGCAGTTTGCAGCATATGAAAATCATACCATGAATTCAATAACTGAACTACTCTAGATCTTTTTCAAAAAGACAAATCCATTGGCCATGCCCTTGGATGTCACAGTAATGTCAAATTACTACAAAAATGTCTGAATGCTTACACTTAATTACAGTATTTCTCTTTTTGCAGATCTATAACAGAGCTGGTGGCCATTATCAACTCACAGACTGTACGTTGAGTAGCACTTGTCTAGATTACTAAGACTGAAGACTAACTGACACAGCACACCAAGAAAGTGAACGTTTTTCATTTTCAAATCCACCATTTCTTTCATGCAACAATGCTGAATAACAAAATAAACAAGGCATTGTGGATATAGCAACTTCACAATTTATGTCCTATGTCTACCTAACAGGTCTACTTGAAAAATGACAAGTAGGTTGTACCTTCAGAATTCCAAGACATATTGATTGGATTTGCACACTATAGTTTGGATCAAAAGCCCCCTCTTCCTCTGTTGTTCATCTACTGCACCCGGGTTCTTTACCAAAACCTCACTTCCCATGGTGATGCAGTGCTGTCTGTCCTACAGCAGTGCTTGGCCTGTGCTTGTGGTTTCTTCCATTTTCACTTCACTGCATTACAGAGACTGTATATTCCCTCTACATTGTACCTTGTTAATAATATTTTGTGTTTAAAAGTATCTGTATGTATTTGCAGTTTTACTCTACTTCTGAGGTAAAGTTGGCTTTTCTTAAATATTTTTTTACTTACACGTTTATTTCTAAACACGCTGGCACCTTCTTCAATGTTGTATTTTAACCACCATCAACATCATCATAACAAGATGGATAATTTTATGAGTTTAGAGCATAGTCTGTTCAGGCATAATTTGGAGATATTGCAGAGTTGGTTCGAGACTACCACAATAAAGTGAATATCACTATAAAGTGAGTCACACAAATTTTTTAGCTTTCCAATGTATATAAAAGTTATGCCTACACTATACTGTAGTCTATGAAGATGCAATAGTGTTCTGCCTAAAAAAATGTACATACCTGAATCAAAAAATAATTCTGTGCTAAAAAAGGCTACCCATCATCTGAACCTTCAGTGAGTCAGAATCATTTTGCTGGTGGAGGGTCTGGCCTCAATATTGATGGCTACTGATAGATCAGAGTGTTGGTTGCTAAAGGCTGGGGTACTTTGGCAATTTCTTAAAGTAAGACAGCAATGAAGTTGCCATATCAATTGACTCTTCCTTTCAGGAATGATTTCTCTGTAGCATGCAATGGTGTTTAATAGCATTTTTCCCACAGTAGAACTTTTTCTTCAAAATTGGACTCTCACTGCTTTGTCAACTAAGTTCATATAATATTCTAAATCCTTTGTTGTCATTGCAACAATCTTCACAGCATCTTCACCAGTAGATTCCATCTCAAGAAACCACTTTCTTTGCTCATCCATAAGAAGCAACTTCTCATCCATTCAAGTTTTATCATGAGATTGCAGCAATTCAGTCACATTATCAGGCTTCACTTCTAATTCTAATTCTCTTGCTATTTCTACCACATCTGCAAGGACTTCCTCCACTGAAGTCTTGAATCCCTCAAAGTCATCTGTGAGCATTGGAATCAACTTCTTCCAAACTCTTGTTAATGTTGGTATTTTGACCTCTTTTTATGAGTCAGGGATGTTCCTCAAGGCATATAAAATGGTGAAGCCTTTCCAGAAGTTTTTTCAATTTACTTTACCTAGATCCATGGGAGCGATAACTATCTATGGCAGCTATAGTCTTATGAAATGTATTTCTTAAGTAATAGGACTTGAAAGTCAAAATTACTTCTTGATCCATGGGCTACAGAATGGATGTTGTGTTAGCAGGCATGAAAATAACATCAATCTCTTTGTACATCTCCATCAGAGTGCTTGGGTGACAAGGTTGACTATCAATGAGCAGTAATATTTTGAAAGGAATCTTTTTTTTTCCCCTGAGCAGTAGTTCTCCGCAGTGGGCTTAAAATATTAAACCATTTTGCAAACAAACATGCTATCATCCAGGCTTTGTTATTCTTCTAGAACACAGGAAGAGTAGATTAACCATGATTCTTAAGGGCCCTAGGGTTTTCAGAATGGTAAATTAACACTGGCTTCAACTTTTAAGTCACTGGTCGCATTAGCTTCTAACACGAGAGTCAGCCTGTTCTTTAAAACTTTGAAGCCAGACATTGACTTCTCCTCTCTAGCTATGAAAGTCCTAGGTAGCATATTCTTCCAAAACCTTTTTGTCTACATTGAATATCTGTTGTTTAGTGCAGCAACCTTCATTAATTATCTCAGCTAGATCTACAGGATAGCTTGCTTTAGCTTCTACATAAGCACTTGCTGCTTCACTTTATACTTTTATATTATAAAGATGGCTTCTTTTCTTAAACCGTATGAACCAACCTCTGCTAGCTTTGAACTTTTCTCCTGCCGCTTCCTCACTTCTCTCCACCTTCAGAGAATTGAAGACAGTTAGGGCTTTTCTCTGGACTAGGCTTTGGTTTAAGGGAATATTATGGCTGCTTTGATCTTCTATCCAGATTACTAAATCTTTCTCCATGTCAGCAATAAGACTGTTTTCTTTCTTTCTTTCTTATCATCTATGTGATCAATAGAGTAGCACATTTCATTTCCTTCAAGAACTTTTCCTTTGCATTCACAAATTGACTGTCAGTTTGACACAAGAATCTTAGCTTTAGGCCTCTCTCAATTTTTGACATACTTTCCTCACTAAGCTTAGTCATTTGTAGATTTTGATTTAAAGTAAGAGACATGTGACTCTTCCTTTCACTTGAACACTTAGAGACCGTGTAGGGTTATTATTTGGCCTAATTTCAATATTGTTGTGTCTCAGGAAATGGAGAGGCTTCCAGGAGAGGGAGAGAGTTGGGGGAACTGCTGGTGGACAGAGTAGTCAGAGCACACACGTTTTTCAGTTAAATTCACCAACTCATATTAATGCAATTCACTGCACCCCAAAATAATTACCACAGTATCATCAAAAATCATTGATCTCAGATCACAATAACAAATATAATAATTCTGAGGAAGTTTGAAATATTGTGAGAATTACCAAAACGTGACACAGAGACAAAAGTGAGCAAATGCCGCTGGAAAAATGGTACTGTTAGAATTGCTTGATGCAGGGCTGCCACAAACTTCTAATTTGTAAAATAATGCCACATCTATGAAGCACAATAAAGTAAAACCAGGTATGCCTGTAATCATTAGAAGACAGTTCCATTAAATGAAGACTGCTGGTGGGGAAGAGGATAACCCTAAATATTCACCACTTAAAAATCCACATCAAGACAGATCTCACTGCCGCCTAACTACCAGCACACTTACTGGGGAGATCAATTTCCATATCCACTAGGGTGTTGTCTATTGGTTGTTTCTAAGCCTTCAAAATCTTTCAATTGACCAAATGACAAAACATTCCCTCAATGCTGGAGCCATACCATGTACCTTGGAGAAAGGGGAATGGCCTCTCTTTCTCTACTGTATATCACACACAGTTACGTGGATTCCAAATGACAGTATCTACAACACCCAGTTGCAAAGGATACCTAGTGAAAGGCTGTCACCTCCTTTAATGATTAAGGCATTAGGAGGGTGAAAGAAAGAAATAAACCAGTATGAAAATTAATAGATTGGAAGTAATGCCATTATGATACTTAGGGTTCCAATAAAAAGTAATGGGGCCTGAATTAATGTAATGGGACAAGAAAGGATAGACCAGTTTTGAGGGACATTAAAGAGACTGATTAGATATAGGATGATAGGGAATGTGTGGATTTCAGAGAGAGAGAGTGATGTGTAAAGAAGAGTAAATTTATACAATTTTGAGTAAATAAAATCTGAAGAGCCAATGGGATTCAAGTGGCAGTCATAAGTGTAGAGATCTGTGTGATAAAGTTAGCCCCCAAAGATTTAAAATAATAGCAAGTACAAGCATTTAAATAAAACTATAGGTAAATTATAAAAACAGCAATTCTAAGTAATGACTAGATGATGAGTCAAGTAATAAATGGATGTTTGTTATTATGACCAAAGGACACTGAATACAAAATATACTTTAAAAAAGTACTGTTGGAGGGTTCAGATGTAGGTGGCAGAGGAAGAGGATATGGAGCTCACCTGCCACCATGAACACATCAAAAATACATCTACATGTGGAACAATTCTCACTGAAAACTGACTGGAAACTGGCAGAAGGACTCCTGTGTAACCAAGGCTGTATGAAAGATCCACAGGTAATTGGGTTGGAAGGGAAGAAAAGCAATCCATATGGGACCTGTGCCCCTGGGAGGGGACTCACAGGAAAAGGAAGATTACATGGGTGGACACCTAACCTGGGCAGTAAGGATTCAAGTCATAGATTGGGTTCCCCAATCCTGGGGTCCTGTGTCAGGGAGACAGGGCTCCTTGGCTGGTTGGAGGGCCACTGGGACTAACAGAAGGGATGTGAGAAGCCTGCACTGGACTGGAGCTCACTGGTCTACGCCCAGGAAGGATGGAGAGAGGTCTGCTCTAGAAGCTGCAGGGCTTCCTGCAACTGCCTCACTGAGCACCCCAGACTGTGCTAAGTGAACAGTCTGGCTCTGCTCACTCCACGCCACAATATGGCACTAGATCTGGGGTGGCCATGACTGGGAAAAAGACTGGACCATGGGATGTAGAGGTGACCCAGTTCTGGGGCAGAGCCTGGCTGGGCAGCTGTGGCCACTGTTGGTGCTTATTCAATCAGTGCCTCTGTAGCAGCCCAGATCTCTGGCATTAGTCACTCTGCCAAGGCCTACCCTTCAATACATGCAGAGTCCACATGGGCCCCACTTGCCCTGCAGAGCAGGTCTGCCGCAGGCAGAGGTAGCAGAGGGTGAGGGCAGTGACTGAGCGTGAGGGACGGAGGAGACTCTCACCAGAGGCTGCACAGGCAGTGCCTCAGACCTCTGTCTGTGGCTAAGCCCAGCCAGCAGCCCATCCAGGCCCCACTGCTCTGGCACTTCCCACCCTCCCCCCGGGGCAAGGGTCCCAGGTCTGGGAGAAGGAAAAGCACACACTTCAATGGAACAAAACCAGTTCAGGCCCAACTCTCAGGGCTCCTGCTCCAGCAGCTTGGGGTCAGACCCCACCACCAACAGGGGGGTGATGGCCACTGAGCAGAGGGGAAGTCCTGCCCCACACCTGGTGCCAGCTCTCGCCCCTCCATGTCCAGCCCCACTCCCTACCAAGGCGACAGCCAGTACACTCAGAGCAACGACTTACATTTTTCCCTTACTCCTTTAAACATCTTTGTCTTTCTTTGAACATGCTTTTTTATAATAGCTGATTTAAAATCTTTGATCAATGCAACATCTGAGTCATAATGGGTCAGTTTCTATTGACTACTGTCTATTTTGTTGACAGTAAATCATAGGTTTTTTTTTTTCTAAAAGCCTACTAATATTTTATTTCGCACTGGACATTGTCAATAATACATTTTAGAAGCTCTGAATTCTGCTGCCTTACCCGGGAAAGTGTCTACTATTGTTCTAGTTCGATTCAGTTCCAGCTGAGCACCATGAACTCGTGTCTGCTCCCGTTTTACGTTGTGTTAGAAGCTTGCTACAATTCCCAAGCCCTTCAGGCTTGATAGGACTTGACATTTAAACTCTGTCTTCCCTGTATATGTGGCCAGGGCATGGTTTTAGACTTTATTAGAGCAAATCTAGAGTAGGTCTTTTTTGTTGTTGTTTTTGTTGGCTTGTTTTTAATATGGAGGTTTTCCGATGTCTCAGCTGAATGCCCACCATGTTAAAAGAACATTTACAAGTTTTCTACACTCTGGCTGGGCTCAGTTCCACAGCAGCTGCAATCTGGTGAGCCCAATGCTGTCTTGCCTGGTCCATGCACAGTCCACCCACTGCAAAGAGCCTACTGGGAAACCCTCTGTGCAACTGCCTTATCTCCAGTGTCTTTCCCTGTATATTCCAACACCTTAAGTTGGCAGGAGCTCTTGACATCTGACTCCTCAACTCAGCATGACTTCCTTGCTCTACTTGGACTCTGGATCACTGTGCTGTGGTTAGACTATCGTCCAGGTAGGTAATTGATCTGATTGTAGATCTCCCCTTCAGTTTCTCAGCTCTCCTGGACTGCACTCTTGTATCGCTTATTGGGCAATGCCTGAGTGCTGTTGCTTCATAGATTTTGTTCAGTTTTATGATTATTTATAAGAAGAGGACTAGTCTAGTAGAGTTTTTTCTTTATAGCTATTTAGATTTGGTAATAGCATCAATCCACGTTTGTAGGTCAATGCTACCTAACAAAACTTGCTGCAATGATGGAAAAGTTTTACACCCGTGCTACCCAATAGAGGAGCTACTAGCTGCATACAGTTACTGAGCACTTACTATGTGGCTAGTGAAACTGAGTAACTGGACTTTTAAATATTCTTTAAATTATTACATCAGCTAGTAGTTTCCATACTGGACAACGCAGTTCTAAGTAGTAGGGATAAAAGCACTTAACTTGAGCCAGAACAACTGCCTTATTTGAGTATCTTATCTTAATATTGTTACTTGAGTCCGTTTTCTGGCTAACTTTTTTTTCTTAGAATTTATTTGGTTCTCAGAAAATTGCTCCCCCAGTCACCATGATTCATTCTTTCAAATCTGTGTGTTTTTCTGATATTTCTGTTTCTGCATTGTAACTGACGATGCTGGTCTGGACGCCCACTCTTCTTACCTTTCCTGATTTAGCCTGTTTCCTTGACTCTGGTCAAGAGTTTTGCTCTAAAATTTCAGTGTAAGTACTAGATCTCTAATAAATAGAAACTGTGTCCCAGTCATATTTAAAATCACAACAGCACAGTGTGCTGTGCCTCAGCATCTGCTTGTCTCTCTATTTTGATAGTTTGACTCCAAGAGTAAACTGGAGGCTTGCATTTAACAGGAGGTCAGAACTTAGAGAAAGATTGATGGAATCATCTGGATTTATCAATAAATACAGATAATCAGACCAAAGCCTATTTTCCTCCTATTGGCCTAAATTTACACCATTAGAAATATTATGTTAAAATTAGATCACTTTTCTTCCTAGCTATTTTTTTTTGAAATCAGAATTCAGTGTGCAAGTACAAACATAACTAAGCATACATTTTGATCTACTTGGCCAACCTAATGTAAAGACAGGGTTATTTGTCCATTAGATTTGAAGATCTGCCTACTGAAAAGTAACAGAAATATAAAGGCATAAAACCTAAATATTGAAGTGCATGGATTATGGGAGAATTAGGTATGGCTATCTAAAAAGATAAAACAGCAGCAAACTTCTCATGGTCACTAGCTCTTGATGTTCTGTTTTCAATTTTGTGTGTGTGTGTGTGTGTTTGTGCACACACAACAGAGAGAACGATATATGGGGGAACCTGATTGTTTAACTAACAATTTGGTCACAAGAAAGAAATACAGATTTCCCACTTACATGGACTATTGACCATCCGTATTTTTGCATTTGTAGTACGCTCATTGTACATCATTAAATATATATGAACTATATTTATCTAATCTTATTTCATTATAGTGCTATTTACAATTCACATTCTTACCCTTCACAGTTTATTGTTTTGTAACAGTACTTAATGCCTTTACAAGTTAAAAACATTAAAGAAAGATGACATGGTTAATTAATGCATTTCAACTGTCTAGTATTATTTGTTACCATGGAAATAAAATGATAAACTACATCTATAAATGAAAATAATGAGAATAAAAGTAATGAAGCTATTATCTAAAACACAGGACTGAAAGGAATCATGAAATAGTATTTTCCAATTTCAATAATGAAAGCAGAGCCACAGATATTTTGTTTAAGAAAAAGTCACCATCTTTTGTTCATGTCATACTCCTTATAATCAAACTTACTGGATTAAATTTATGTCCATTTTTTTTCTTATTCCATAGTCAGTGGAGATTTATAAAAGTTACTATTCAGATAAAAGTCTGTTCTTACTAAAACCATAGGAAATTAATAGCATTTTGTTTGACATTTTCTTTTATATTGTATTATACCATCTGACTAAATGTCTCCATGTTTCAACTAGATGACTTTTCTTGTCCTCCATGGAACCTAGTTTGGTGTTTTGTACAAAGGCACTCTAGTTAATTGAAATGACACAGACATGCCAGCTCACATATTTAAAAGGTAGAAGTCTGGACCTATCTCCCTAACAACCTGAAACACTGTGGGTGCCCCCACCCTATGTGCTATCCCATTACAGATCTGAATGTAAGTTTCTTATGCTTCTTAACCTGCCTGCTAACTATTCCCAAGTGGAGATCCTGGATTACTTCAGACCCCTCTAGCATGATTAGTCAGTACAATAAGGACCAACTATGAAACACTTAAGACAGTAAAAGATTTTGGTTTCTATGGGTTAGTAGTCCAATTTTCGGTCTTTCCAATGGCGACATGGGTGCTATGCTATTTAACTAGGAACAGACAACATAAGCAAATGTGTTAGATTGGAAAGAAGTGGAGGGAATGGGAAGAGGAGAAGACATGGTGGGAAATCAGCTTGGTGTCTGTGGCATTCGAAAGACTTAAAGAACAAAGCTAAGTAGAGAATTAAAAGACTTGAGGAGGTGATTTATGCTTTCTGATTTTTGCTTCAGAATGAAATAAACACTATTTATAAACTTAACTTGCTGACATTGTGATAGTCTGTATTTACTTGATTTCATTTAACATAACTTGTCAGGGAAGGAAAATGAGGAAGGGTCATGGACGAGGACATTCAGGATAGAGAGGTGAAGATTTATAGAAAAGACTGAAAGGAGGGACCTTGTTGGCCAGCAGCCAGGCTTCTTGCAGGGAAAACCAGCATCCTAGGCTTGACGAGATTACTCCCAGCAGCTGCCTGGTTTATAGCTTCATGCTATGTAGATCGTGTATTTTAACTTCCCTTCTCCACGGAATTAAAGTAAGAAAAAGCAAGTTTCTTTTAATAAACAACATTCCAAATATCTATGTTCATGTTTCAAGGATAATTGTAAGGACTGTTGCTTCCTTACAAATGTATAGTCAACCTGACATCTATTTGGCATTGATGCAAGATAGAAAGCCAAATGAGAACATCCTTTAAAACAAAAATAACTCTATAATTTGGATCAATAGAATTAAGGGAATACATGACTGCCACTCTTTCTAGAATAGCTCAGCACTTGAAAATCCCAAAAAGAAAGAAAGTAACATGTTAGAATTCAGCCATATTGTTTTCACAACAGTGGTGAGAAAATTGTTGAATAAAGGCACCACTTAAACATTGTTTATCATTTTCAAACTTTTGGCTTACAAAAAAACTTATGAAAAATAACATCTTTGTAGATTGGGAATCAGCAATAACTAAGATTGGACAAAAATACAAGAGTGCCCTGAGCTGTAATTTGAAGGAAAAACATGTTGACTGAAAGGTAGCTTGGATGTATAAAATGCTAGATGATAATGATGATTATCTGAGACATTTTGATGATTTAAGCTCATTACTATGAATCATAAAAAGTAACTATCAGTCATACTTAACATAACAGACATTCTTACCCCAATCACCCTAAAGAAATAAAGTCTGTTCTAGTTTATTAGCTTGTGTCTATAGTAGCTCAACTGATTTGATTTAGTGTAAACATCGGCCTGGTGTTAACCATTCATCAGTGTTTTGATTTTATAATTTAATTTTATGCAAAGCAAACTTTCCATGCTCAATAATTTGGTCCAGGCAATCAAACTCACTTATTGCTTCTATTGTCAAACTTCAAACAATTATTTATGAATAGACTGACTCTAACTTTGTAATTGTATCATATACAAGCAAAATTTTCAGTTCTGCTATTCAATTTTACTTTTAAAAACTTACTCATCAAAGTACAGGCAATTAAATGAAAGTTAATCTGAGTTACTGACTCATGATGCAACAATGCTTGTCAAGGTTAGGTTAAATACTAGCTTCTTTACCTTTGTCTTAAATGGATTCTAATCCTTTCCTAGTGCTAATTAAATATTAAAAGACTTCTCGTTCTGAC